TAGTTAGCTATGATGAGGATTTTTTTACCATCCAAAAATAACTCTATTATTGTGATTTTATTTTAAAAACTAGATCATTTATTAAGTTTTGCAATGCTTTCATGATTGCTTGAACAACGAAGGACAACTTTTTTTTCATACTAGTATTATTGTATTATAGATCAGCTATATTACTTGATAAATAAATAAATGAGTATCCTACAGTGTCAGACTATAGCTATGAGCAACAAATGTTTGTGCGTTGTTTACTTATATAATGTAGAAAAGTTTACTGGTTTCATGGCCATAAATGGACTGTTCGTTCATGGATAGAAGCTTCTTTATGTTCTCAACCCCCAGAAAAAAATCAACTCATTTGGTTGAAGGATCACAGAGATATTCAAATTTTTCTAATTCTAGTGACCTTCTGGATACCCCGAATATATATATATATATATATATATTTTTTGCAAGCAGCCTAGGTCTTTCTTATTTTTTAGTGCGGCAAATTATTGGTTACTTTGAACCGACATGCGTTGTCAATGTTTAGCTGAATCTGGTTACGTTGTATTATGTTTAGATAATCGTGGTAGTGCAAATCGAGGTGTTGCATTTGAAAGTTTTATTAAACATGATATGGGACATTTAGAACTTGATGATCAACTCGATGGTGTACTTCATCTTATCAAACAAGGTATTGCTGATGAAATACGTGTTGGTATATATGGTTGGTCTTATGGTGGATCGATGTCTGCTATGGCATTAGTTCGTACAAATAATATTTTTAAATTAGGTATTGTAGGTGCACCAGTGACACATTGGGATGGATAAACTAAAAAGAGAAACTAAAAGTTAGAATCTATTAGATATATTGTGTTTTTTTTTATTTAGATATGATACTCATTATACTGAAAGATATATGGGTACACCAGAAGAGAATCCACATGGATATGAAATTTCAAGTATATCATATTATGTAGATAATTTAAAAGGATATTTAATGATTATTCATGGTTGAATTGATGCAGTGTTCATTTTCATCATTCAGCTCGTCTTATAAATACACTTAGCAGAGCAAATAAACCCTATGGACTAGTACTGTTTCCTGATGAACGGTATATGCCAAGAAAACTTGATCAACGAATCTGGATTCAATTTGTCATGCTCAATCTAAAAAAAGCAGTTTTGAAATTGGAATGAAATGAAAAAAAAGGAAAATTTGTCGGCTATCGAAAGTTGATTCTTTTTTCAGACTTAGCAGATCATTTGAAAAAACGAAAAATGTGTCCCTAAAAACTCATTTCAAAAGAAATTAAAACTCATAT